GTCTTCCTCTCGCCCGGAATTCTGTGTCAGGGAATAAACAATTGGAGAGTCATCCGCCATCGTCAGACGGAATCTGTTTGTTTGCCGGCTGTGAGGAAGTCGGGGGAAGACTCAGACTGGGTGCGGCTGCGTTTGTGGTTTTTAGTACGTTCGTAGAAAACCGACCGGCCAGCAACTCGCACGACGCACGTCACATTCTCACGCTGCTCTTCCCCCAAACGTTCACTGCTTGTAAAATTGCTGAAGACACAACACACAGCAGGGACAGTTTTATTGTTGTTCCCTTCAGCATTGAAGCCGGCCTTTTCTGAGTCATCAAATTGAGACATCGTGACGCTGAGGCATTTATTTTTAAGAACGTGCGTACACACGAGGTCATGCGTGTGGCTCCCACATGGGATTTTATTTGTGTGTACAGTACATTTTATTTATTTTTTATTAAATGGTAACCACGTGGTATTTAGGGTTAGAAAATCGGACGAGTCACAAAATATCTAAGCACACTCTGGTGTGTTGTCATGCTGCAGTGCATGTGCAATGCCTTAGTGTGCTGGGGTGCCGTTCAGCATGAATAGCTGAACAAAGCATGTAACATCCATCACTTAGACGTGTGAGCCGGCAAAACATTTGGTTAATTTTGTTTCAGATTTTTTTGTAATTCGGGTCAGAAAGTCAATGAAAGTCCATTCGTTTTCGGGATTTGGACCGATCTGAACGTTTTGTTAATTTTGGGTGTTAAATGTTATTTACGAATGAATTTTCGTTGCAGCAAAGTGACATTAGGAAAACTGGACTTTGTTTGACAGTCCACAGAAATGATGATAATAATAAAACTGAGCTCCCCCCCCCCTAATTCATACCAGATCCTTTAGGTGTAGTAGGAATTCTAAAGGGGAGCACAAAGCCAAAAAAAAGCCCAGGGTCCCCCCTAACATCCCTTACCAGACCCTTGATCCAAGTGTCAGTCAGTCAGTCAGTCAGTCCACCCCTGGCAAAGCACCCTCCCCATGTTGAGAGCATGTGATCTGGTACATTGCGGGGGGATTCACACACTCGCCCCCGTTCCCTTTCCTGTTCTGCCAGGCTTCTACTTGGATCAAGGATCTGGTAAAGGATTTTAAGGGGACAGCACACTTTTTTGGGGCATTGGGATGCCCCCTAAAATCTGGTATTTTACAACATAAATTCATTCTGAATGACATTCGGAAAAAAATTCAGATGCATCCGAAATTTTCGTTACCATAAATTCAGATGTTCGGTTATTTTGTCATTCGGATGCATCGGAATGTCCCAATGTGCCGAAATGACATATTATATGTCTGGCATCGATGCACATTGCGTAACACACATGTTAAAGGAGAACTATGGGGTCAGTGTTTTTCCCCATAGTTCGCATAAGGGTAACGGGAGGACACAAACTAGCGTCCTCCTGTCACTCAAAACTCAGTAAACTGAGAGTGCCGCAGCCGGGACAGATCCAGACATTACTGTCGAAATCCACCCAGCTGCATGAGTGACAGCTGGCTCTGCCTATCTAGAGGCAGAGCCAGCTGTGCCCGCCCCATCCCCCATCCGTTCCGCCAGTCAGCGGGGGAGGGGAGGGGGAATCCCTGCAGGGAGCCGTGACAGTCATGGCTCTCTGCAGGGAGATGATCGAGAGGTGAGCAAACGCCGTTATGTGTTCGCTCACTTCCCGATCTATTGAGCCGACCTGTGACAGTCTCATTGTCACAGGTCGGCTCGAACTATGAGGAGTGAAAATCACTCCCCCTCATAGTTCTCCTTTAACACAAACATGTAAAATGGGCCTGGGGTCTGGATGCTTCCCCCCAAAAAAAGTACAAAGTAAAAATCTTCCATCTATGAGCCGCCTGTACATCAATGTAAAGCATAAGCACAGAGAGGGGCGGTCTCCAGTACAGTGTGTGATAACATGAAAACTATGCGAGTGTCTTGAATCCATTGACAGACTGAACCCCCCCTTGTAATGAATGTTGTGTCCCGTTTCCTCCAGCAGATAAAGCGCAGTCCGGAGAGAAGATCTGAGACGGTTCCGGAAGGATTTTGGGGGATTTCTCAGGACGGGAGGACGGGACGTCTGCTGCAGATTTGGAGATTTAAGGAGAACCTTTTTTTTTCCCTCCATCTGTTACTTCTCTGCTGCTGCCGCCCGGAAGGCTCACCGATAAAACCGCAGACCGCGATGTGTGGGCGCCGGATCCCCTGATCCAGCGGACATTTTTGTGTGTGTGATTTGCATTCGAGAAATCTTTGGACTTGACCCGGCCTGTCTACAGGTTTGAATGTTTTCCTATGTGCGTGTGTTGGGAAGGTCATATGTACGTATGTATATATAGACACATATGTAAATGTATGCGTGCGGTTTCTGAATGGATTCGTTACTCCGTGTATATAGCTATATATACATTTGTAAAGGCATTACTCTCCTAAGGATGGCGGTTAAAGTGTACCTGTCACCAGGGCTGTATTGTGGCCACAGGGCATTATGAGATTGCTCAAGGTAATTTTTGGGCAGTTACCTCATACTCCTCCCTGCACCCCTCCCCCCCCCCAGTCCTAATTCTAGTGGTAGGTCAGGGGCTTTGAGAGGCCAGTACCCCTCACTCTGCTAATGTGATGTGAGTGTCAAGGGCTGTGTTAGTCCTGAGACACTTCACTCTGCAGCTAATGTGATGGGAGTGTCAAGGGATGTGTGGAGGCCCTGGAACCCTCACTTTGCAGCTCACATGTGATGTCAGGGCAAGGGATGTGTGGGGCCAGGACCCCTCACATGATTGGAAGGTCAAGGGCTGTGTTAGGCCTGAACCCCTCACTCTACAGCTCCTATGGGATGGGAGATCAAGGGCTGTGGGATGCCTGAACCCTTCGCTCTACAGCTCATAAAATGATGGGAAGTCAAGGGCTGTGGGAGGCCTTGGGCTCACTCACACCTCACCTGATATGTGATGGGCTAGCTGATGCAAGAGCGGTGTATAGGGTCCTTGGTCTCTCATATTTGTTGAAGACTGAATAGTTCTGGTCTGACAGCCCTCGATATTCCATGCAACCTAAATAGGTTATTTAGGAAATTGATAAAACTCCCTTCACTTATGAGAGGAGGGGCTCTTAAATGTTCTAGAGCTGTGCACATATTATATATATTAAAATATAGAGGGACCGGTTGCTAGGGGAGATGCCGCTATAGATACCTGTTCAGTATCTGATGTGGCTTATCACAGCTTTTTCCAGAAAAGGACTCAGGCTTTCACAAAGCCCTCTTCACCCAGTAGAAATGAATGAGCTGAAAGAAGATAGATTTATAAATATATTTCCCTTGCATTGGGGG